CCCCCCCCCCGCCACCACACCGCTTCAAAAGCCATGTGCGGCAGGCAGCTGCTTCTCCCAACCCGGCTGAGCGAGATGAAAGGCCTCAGGCATCTCCGTGGAGGCCCGGCCAACATCTCTGCTAGCTTAACTCCACAAGCTCTGGTCCCACTGGTTCTTGGTCAGGAACAAAGGGACAATGGCAGAATGACCACAGGAGCGCCGGCCGGCCACTGTGGAGGATCAGACAGGCCCTGCCACCCCTGAGCGTGCCTGGCCAGCCAGGTGCTCTGGAGCTACTGGGAGTGTCAACCCCAGGGCCACAGATCAGGGAGCCGGTGTCCCCTGGAGGTTCCTGTCCACCCCGTGTGAGTCTGGGGACAGGCTGCCAGAAACGATATTCGGTCCCCAAGTGGCTGGTTGACCTGCCTTTCCAGTAACTTCCCTCAGGCCTGTGGTCCCCCCGATGACCTTTACTCACTTTTTTAAGGGTTCAATCACAGTCTTCTGTATCTGGTTCACCTGTCAAAAGAAAAACCCGATGGCGTCAAAATTGGGGGGAAGCCAGGGCTTCCCTGGTTGTGCAGGGGTTAAGAATCTGCCCGCCAATGCAGGGGACACGGGTTTGAGCCCTGGTCCGGGAAGATCCCACATGCCGCGGAGCAACTAAGCCCGTGCACCGCAACTACTGAGCCTGCGCTCTAGAGCTTGCAAGCCACAACTACTGAGCTCGCATGCCACAATGACTGAGGCCCACGTGCCTAGAGCCCGTGCTCCACAACAAGAGAAGCCACCGCAATGAGAAGCCCGCGCACCGCAACGAAGAGTGGGCCCCGCTCTCCACAACTAGAGAAAGCCCGTGCACAGCAACGAAGACCCGACGCAAAAATAAATTTCAAAAAACAAACAAAAAAAACTGGGGGGAAGCCAGACTCTTCCCAAAAGGGGGAGCCTCCAAGTTCCTGAGAAGAGAAAGGGAGCAAGACAGGGGTACCCCGAGAGCCCCAGGCAGGGAGACACCCCTAACTGCTGCTGGAGCAAGGCAGAGATGACAACTGGGGAGCCTGAAGGGTGACAAGGCGCACCGGCCTTGTCCTGGGTCAGTTCTCATCCTGTGAAGCCGACGATGGCCTTGCTCAGTGAGGAGGCGGGGCGGGCAAGTCTGAGGGGCTACAGGCGTGGGTGGGCAGAGCCGGCCTGAGTCTCCCTCGTGGCCCTATGTGAGTGATGTGAGCGCGGAGCGCGTGGGAGCTACGGGAAGCAGCCGGTGTGGGGGCAGGGCGGCCAGGGGAGAGCTCACAGGGCTGGGACACTCAGGTGTCGCGAGAGGAGACCAAGCCCCGATAAGAACTCCATCCAGCGCTCCACCCAGAAAGAAGCCTCGAGGAGGGGGAGACCAAGACCCCAGTCACCTTCTCCTGGTTGAAGGCATCCATCCGCTTCATGGCCGTGTCCAGGGCTGTCACCATGTTCAGAAAGTCCTGGTCTTGCTCGCAGAGGGGATTGGAGAGCAAGTCCAAGGATATCTTCACAGCGGACTTGGACATGGCTGTAAGAAGTCAAAGCTCAGTGAACCAATGACAGGGCAGGCTTCAAGGTCTTGTCCTCAGGACTCCCTGTCGTCCTTGGGGCCAGAGGCCTGCATCCGGACGACCTCCATCCATGGCCACAGGCCATAAACTACACAGTACTCCAGAGGCACAAGACACCAGTCCTTATGGTGTAATGTGCATTCCTGATACTGCTCTGGGTAATTCTTTTGAGCAGATTTACCTGTTGCAATGACTTACTTTCCAAACTCTGGATTATAACAGAATCATTTGGGTGGGAAGCTGTAAGAAATACGTATTTCTAGCTCCAAAGATTTATTTCAGTAAGCCTGGAATCCAGGAATATGCATTAAAAAAAAAAAAAAAAATTCTCCAGGCAGTTTGGATGTGAAGCTTGGTTTGGGGCTCCCTCACAGAAAGAGTAGCATGGTATCTACACCAGAGAGGCAAACCTACTGTACAGCTAGAGATAAGATTTTAGGCTTTCGATAACTCAACTTTGCCATAGATGACACCCAAAGAATGGGTGTGTTCCAATAAAACTTTATTGACAAAACTAGGCCGGATTTGGTATGGTGAGGCAACCTGTTGGCAGCTTTGGAGTTCTTGGTCCCATGAGAGTTTTCAGGCCTCCATTACCAGCAAACGAAATCCTAGAGGGGCAGGAAAGGCTGGAGAAGGGCCTTGCTTGCCCCACAGTGTCTGTACCAGTTTCAGGGGCTCACGGGAAAACGTGTTTTTGATCTATTTCTTATTATTTTATGTCATTAAATTTAAGATGCTATTAACTGTAAGACACACCATTACTGCATAAACTGTGAAGAAAAAAAAAATGCTGCCAATGAAACCAGAGCACAGTACTAAGTGTTATATACCTTGATTTCTCTTGAATCTGGGGGTGTGCTGCAGTCCCCTAGCAAAAGGGCAAAGTACGAGAGATGACTGGAAATGTAAACTTCCCAGAGATGATGAAGCAACCGAGGGAAAAACCCTCTTAAAAAAAAGTAAAGTGACTTTGTAGGCTTAGGAGCAAACTCACATGTAATTTGACTGGATTATGAAACGGTCACAGACTGCGTAATTAAAACATAGAAAACAAGGACAAAACTGGAAATGTTTTTGAAAAATTTCTTCCCCTAATTTCTTTTTAATAGTTGAGGGAAAAACCCCCAAAAGTCAGGGGTTGGGAGGGGAGACTTTCTCCCCAATTTTCCTTTTCTTTCCTAACGCCTCCACATCTTCACGCCGATGTCTTTGCTAGAACCATCTGAAGTCAATGAACGGCGAGAGTCTGTGGGGCGGCCCTTCGTCTGGGAGCCCCACCCCGAGGCATCACCGGCCTGTGTGAACACAGCAGGGTGCCGTGGCCTCCACTCTCCTCTGGAGCAGCTCACGTCCCTTGTTCTACCTCTACAGGGACAGGGGAGGGGCGTGGTCAGCCCAGCACAAACCGGGAGGCTGGCGGGCTTCGTACCTTAGGGAGCCCAAGAGTCTTGGACTCCACGTGGGTCCCTAGAGCCCTAACACAACCTGGGAGTGCAGGGGTCGACAAGGACCTGGCAGGGTCTGGTCATGCCTACTTGATCTTATTTTGGACCCACAGCTTTGAATGTGAGATCCTGTCCAGGCAGCAGCTCAGGAGTTTCCAAGACCAGGAAAGGTATAATTTGATTCCCCCCGACCGTGTGGAGCAGTGGTTCTCAAAGTGGGGTCCCTAAGCCTCACCCAGACCTGATGAATCAGAGAGTCTCGGGGTGGGCCGGCGACCCACACTGCAGCAGGCCCTCACTGACTCTGATGCACCAGCCAACAGTGTACGAGGCTCTCTGGCCTGGACTGGGGGATGCAGGCTTTGGGGTGGGTGAGGGCACCACTGTTTCAGGAGGGCTTCCACTGCCCAGACTCCACGTCCGACTCGGGCCAGAAGCAGCCAGAAATCCAGCCCGGGGTCACCCGTCTGTCCTGATTTCTTTGTTAAAAACCTACACTCTCTACAGCCAGACTCCAGTTCATAGATCGCTGACGTTCTGTCCTTTCTGTTCACGCTCTGAGAGTGCAGCTGTGTGGAAAAGCAGGAAGGAAGAGAAGCACAGGCCACAGCATTTCCCTACTAGAAAGACAGCGGGAGCCACAACGAAAGATGGAATCCAGGCAACTCAGAGCTAACTACAAAACCAATAACGGACAGACTGAAAATCAGACCCGCGGCTTGCTACACACACAGTCTGAAGACGCCGGGGTCAGAAGCAGGGGCGGTCGTGGCCAGATCCCTCCCCGCGCCCCCATCCTCTGGAGGAGCACTGGCCGGAGGCTCTGGGGCGCAGACCACGGGAGCTGCCCTCCACCCGCCAGTGGTGGCTGCTGCCGCCCCAGAGAAAGCAGGGAGTGGTGATCTGCTAAGTGAAGGGTGACCTCAAGCCGCTTCTCAGGGACACCTGCGGGGTGCCTACTAAGGGCACCTCCTTCTAAGCCAGCCCCAAAGGGACTGAGCGAGGAGGGTGCCCACCTCTGCCCCTCCCCCATCCAGGCCGGGCACGGGGCCGCCTACCCAGGTCGGCGTCCGCGCTCTTCTTCACGTCCTTCTGCAGCCGCCTGGTCTGCTCCTCCAGCCTGCAAGGCAGGGCCACGGGCCTGGGGACCTGGCATCACCCACCTGCTTCTGCCCCGGGTCTGCCCGTCCCCCTGAGCCGAGCCCCACGCGACACTCAGGTCACCTGCCAGGAGGAGGAAGGGCCTGCTCTGCGCGGATGTCCCCACTGACTGAAGGGCCACCGCGAGCTTGGCGCGAGGCACCCAAGGGCTACGAGTTAACGACTGTCACAGAGCCACCACCCCGGGGGAGAATTTCTGGCAGGTGGTGAACTGAGCTGCCCTCGGCTCCCAGGGTGAGCGGACGAGGCAGCCCGAGCAGAAGGCTCTTTTCCTTCTCGGAGCAGCCCCCTCCCTGCCCTCCCTTCTGGGGGTTGACACTCACTGCTGGAGTTTTCCATACTCCCTTTCAAAGTCTCTTTCCACCTGTAAGGGAAGCGACAACTCAATCACTGGAGGAATGACAGCAGGCTGGAGAAAATCTGTCACCTACGAAACTCCCTCCACGCCCTCCCCGCACCCTCTTCTGCAGAAAACACCACCATCCAGTCCACACAAGCACCAGCACACCGTTCATGACACAGAAGCCCTGTGTTCCCAAATTAATTAAGTGTTTGACTTAGGTCAAAGGACGCCCCTCCCAGACGGGCCAGCCAGGCAGGTACCAGCGGATCCCGACTGGCTCTGCTCTTCCACCGCAGGGAGCGAGGCTGGGCTGTGCTCCCTCCCCTCCCCTGCGGGGTCTGGGTAAGGGGCTCAGAGCGTGATGGAAACTCATCATCGGGGAAGAGGCAGGGCACGGAGGAAAGCGGGCGGGTTAGAGTCCGGTCCTGTCCCTGCCGCTCAGCAGCTCTGGGGCTGGAACAGTTCCCCTCCCCTCCCGGTCCTGGTTTCCTCACAGGTCCAGAACCTGCTGCGTCCAGGGTGGATCAAGAAAGACCAGGTATCCCCGCTCTGTGCGCTGGGATGCAGCCATCACAGATATGATTATCGACTCAGGCAAGGCTCTCTAAATTCTGGAAGAGTCATCAGATTTCCCTGATATTTAGACCAAGTGGGTATGCGCCCTGACCCCAGTTCTTCGGCCTACAGGGCAGGTGAAGCCAGGAAAGTCACTTGGACTTCTAGAGCCTGAATCTCCCCATCTGTAAGGTGGGGCCCAGGCAACGGTTGCAGGAGAGTGGTCTGTGGAGTCCTGATGTCTGAGGGCCAATAGGAGGACGGAGCGCCCGCCACTGCTTTGTCTTCTTCCAAGGAGGCCGAACAGCTCCCTGCATGCCTTGTTGAGGCACCACACGCTCCCGTGACCGGCTTCTCCTCCATCACTCACCTGGCAGGCAGGTGTGCTGACGGCCCTCACCGCACTGAGGTCACTGGGACAGAGGGGGAGTCACCTGAGCAAGGTCACACCACTAGTAAGCGGCAGGCCTGGGGTCTGAACACGGGCCAGGCGGCCTGGCTCCCAGGCCTGCGCCCTTTACCGCCGTTCTACCTTAGGGGGAAAAGCTCTGGCTGATGAACTAAAGCCATGACCTATGAGAGCACCTTCCTGGCGGCTGCCCCGAAACTCCCACCAGGGAGAGCTGTAAATCCTGGTTATCACAGGCTGGAGGTGAAGGAGTGTGAATTTGCAGTGATCATCAAATCCCCGCTGTGCCTCACCAGGAGTCTTCTAAAACCCCGTTGGCCTCAGGCTCCATGTTTGGATTAAGGTAAATTTGACAGTCGTAGACTGGCAGAACATTATTCAGGCCAATTATTTCACGAGATAAATGAGAACGCCACCCAGAGGGGGGAAGTGATTTATATCAGGACACAGAGCTAGTGTGTGGCAAAGCAGGGCTAGAATTCAGACTCCTAATCCAGGCCTTTTTTTTTTTTTTTTTTTAAAAACTGCATTCATGGGCTTCCCTGGTGGCGCAGTGGTTGAGAGTCCGCCTGCCGATGCAGGGGACATGGGTTCGTGCCCCGGTCCGGGAAGATCCCACATGCTGTGGAGCGGCTAGGCCCGTGAGCCATGGCCACTGAGCCTGTGCGTCCGGAGCCTGTGCTCCGCAACGGGAGAGGCCCCAACAGTGAGAGGCCCGTGTACCGCAAAAAACCCCCCAAAAACCCCCAAAAAAACCCACTGCATTCATTAATCCCACAAACATTTATTGAGCACCAATTAAGTGTAGTGCATTCTGCCAGGTGCCAGGGATACACTGGTGAATAAAACAGACACGGGGGCTTCCCTGGTGGTGCAGTGGTTGACAGTCCACCTGCCAATGCAGGGGACATGGGTTTGAGCCCTGGCCGGGAAGATCCCAAGTGCCTCGAAGCAACTAAGCCCGCGAGCCACAACTACTGAGCCCGCATGCCACAACTACTGAAGCCTGCGCACTTAGAGCCCGTGCTCCACAACAAGAGAAGCCACCACAATGAGAAGTGCATGCACAACGAAGGGTAGCCCCTGCTCGCCGCAACTAGAGAAAGCCTGCGCGCAGCAATGACGACCCAACACAGCCAAAAATAAATAATTAAAAAAAACCCAAAACAGACACGGGCCCTGGTCGGGAGATCTAAAGAACAAACACACATGTGACGGGGGGCCATGGGGAGCCCCATGGAGGGCAAGGAAGGGCCCAGTGAGGCCTGACGCAGAGGCCCTACTTAGCATCCGACCTCAGGGCTTGACAATGGGGCTCTCTTGCATGGAGATGGCTCGCCTTCCTCATTTGAACTGTAAAACTCAGAAGCAGAAACACATGGTCTTCCCCTTACATTATGATCCTAACATCTGGGACCTTCCACAAAGTTGTGAAGTAAAATTCATCACTGGGAATTCCCTGTCAGTCCAGTGGTTAGGACTCCGCATTCTAACAGACGAGGGCCCGGGTTCAATCCCTGGTCCCAGAACTAAGATCCCAAAGCCACGTGGTGCAGTGAAATCAATCAATCAATCAATCAATCACTGGTGCCCTAGCCTCCTGCCCTACAGTCTTTTTTTTTTTTTTTTTTTTTGTAGTACGCGGGCCTCTCACTCCTGTGGCCTCTCCCATCGCGGAGCACAGGCTCCGGACGCACAGGCCCAGCGGCCATGGCTCATGGGCGCAGCCGCTCCGCGGCACGCGGGATCCTCCCAGACCGGGGCACGAACCCGTTTCCCCTGCATCGGCAGGCGGACTCTCAACCACTGCGCCACCAGGGAAGCCCTGCCCTACAGTCTTTTCCTCTCTTTTCAACAGACCCACTTTTTCTCCATCTGGGAACCCAACATTTTCATCATCACCTGTTGTATGACCCACCAAAAGATCCTCTCAAGAAAAAATTCATAATTCACTCCTGCTAAAGTGCATGTGCCTGATAGAAGTTTAAAGTGCTACCTAAATCGGGGGATTTGTAGCTGGACATGAATCAGAGTCTTAGCTGAAGGTCTGAACAGCTGCTGGTGTGACCGTGGATGGGAGATTTGTTCTGGAGCAAATGGGCCTCGCCCTGCCCTTTGGAGACCTCACTGAAGTTAGTCTAGTCCTTTTGCCCACAGCACCCGGGGGAAGGCGGTGGAGGGGAGCGAGCAGACAGAAGATATGAACTCTGATACTAGAGGAGGAGCTTTAGAAACATTTCCAACATTTTGAGCCTCGGTTTCTTTTCTAATAAAATGGGATGGTTTGACTTGGTCTCAGCCCATGGGAATTTAAGGTGGCTGACAAGGCAGTGGGCTGACAGCATCAGCCTTGCTGGCTTGTTTAGAGGATTAACGAGCAGTATGTGTAGAGCACAGAGCACAGCGCCCGGCTTACCCACGGGGTCTCCCTGCTCCCCTCCACTGCAGTGGTGAGAGGACCGGGGGTCTGAGGAGGCAGGCTGGTCTGTGACCCTCTGGCACAGAGCACCCAGTCAGCTGGCAGGTGGGGTAAAGCCCGGGCCCCGTGCCTGGGGCCACAGAGGGGCCTCCCTCCGCTGGACACGTCTCCTTTCTTGCTTTGTAGGATGTGACAGCTGAGCTGAGTCTTTACGTCGCACAAGTATTTTTTCTGCCGAAAAGATGAAGTTGAAATTAAGGATGCCTTGGCCAGGGTCCAGCTCTCCTGAAGACCAAGAGCAGAGAGCAGGTCCCCTGCGGGGGGGAGTGAGAGGGGAGGCGAGGGCCAGGCTCTCCTCACTCTCTTGCGCAATCCCCAGCGTGCTGTGTGGGATGTCAGGGAACACCTGGTCTCCCGGGCTGCCACTGCTGGGACATGCACAGAGAAGGACCGCAGGTTTCCAACTGGCTGAGGAGAAACTCAGGGTCTCACGCTGGAAGCGGAGACGTGTGTCGGGGTGGGAGCTTGAGTCTTCTGCTCTCCCAGCTCAAGGCCATCTGACAGCCTAAGAGAAGGTCAAGAACGCTTCACCTCTTTTGTCGGTAGCCAGCTGGCGTTGCTTCCACAGCTCACTGCTCCTGAGGTCTCTCTCCTCCCCAGGGGAAAGATCTGAGAGGCACAGCACCGGGATTCTAGGCCCTCAGACAACGGCTGAGGGGATCAAGGGACACACTGGAGTCTCATTCCAAGGTATATCCGTGCAGAGGGCAGAGGGAAGGAGCCAAATACAAAAGATCTGAACATCTTTGGATGTTTGACGCCTTTGCCAAAAAGGCAACTGGACCCCAGTCAACAACGCAAGTGTAAACACATGTGCACGACTGTCGGCAGGTCAGGGTGGGCTGGGTCAGGCTGGCGAGGTCAGAGCAGGGAGGGTCAAGCACCGAGACTGGCTCAGCAACCCCTGCATTCTCAGAGGCTCAGGGTTGCAGGAGGGACCGTGCTGCTCACAGCTTGTCCCCAGGGCCTAGGTCAGGCTGCCACACGGCAGGAGCTCGGTGGTTGTTAAGTCAATAGTGGGCTGAGTTCCCACCCACTCACACTCATGGTGAAGGGAAGAGGGAAGCCAGCAGGCAGGGCCAGGCTCTAATCCCGGGGCTAAGCGGAGCCAGATTGGATCTGAGGCAGAGCGAGCCCTGTGCCTTCTGAGAAGCTCCTCTTCCAGGGCGGCTCAGAGTGGAGAGCAGCCTGCCTTTGGTTTGTTACAAAGGGTCCCTCCACTTGGCACGTGAAACCCTTCTCAGGTGAAGGAGCGACCTGCAGGGACTCCCATCTGCCTCGACCTTCCAGAGCGCCTGCCTAGCTGGGAATTTAGGTGTGTGCGAGACCCAGGGAAACCCTTGCTTCAGTGTGCAAAGTCTTCCATCATGCTGGTTGCAGAGGGAGGCGCAGCTTCTCTTTGCCGTACCAAGATGCTCCAGCTCCTTTATGAGCTGGGGCAGCGGGAGGGGACTAAGCAGAAGGTTAGGACTGGAAAGTGGGGGAGTGTTTGTCCTTCCATTTCAGCCCCAGTGGTCAGCCCCTGCAGAGAACACGCCCTTCCAGCCAAAGCCTTGACAATACTGGAATCTGTGTTAATAACCTGGGCACAGCAGAATGGGGAGGGCAACGCACAATGCTTTCTTTGTGTCTGACGGTTGGGTGCCTTGAGCCAAAAACCTCCTGAAACTCCCTGAAGATAACATGAGCTTTTCTTCCCATGACAGGGGTGCCACGACTTCCAATAACCCAGACAGCCACATCTGCTCCCCTCCCCGAGAGTGCCTGGACAGGAAAAATAGAGTGCGTCACCCATGTTTGGGGGCAGCTGCCAGAGATGCTGAGACAACTGCACAGCCTCGGCCTGTCTGGGGGCCAGGAGGGGGCTTGTGTCGGGGAGGGTAGGGAGACTCCGAAGAGGTAGGGTCTTGCTACATAGACTTCAGTGCCTCTGGGGAGTTGAGGAAGCAAAGGACTCTATTCCTCGTGAGAGATCAAAGGCCCAGCCTACCATTTCATTGTACTGGGGAATCCAGCTGCTTGGGACAGGCTGGGTCCTTGGTGGTTTATTAAGAGTCAAATCAGCTATCGTCTCATAATGCAGTTAATATTTACTGAGGGCTCACTACATGCCAGGCACTGTGCTAAGTGCTTCATATGTATTACCTCATGTAAGATGCATAATACTTACACCAATGACATAGGAGCTAGTATCATCCTCACTTCACAAAGGAGAAAATGAGGGCTCAGGGAGGGTAAGGAACTTGCTAAAGGTCACGGACAACACGTGGCAGGGCCAGGATGGGAATCCAGGCAGGGGACCTTCCAAATCCAGTTTCATAACCATTCCTTGATGCCCAGTCTGTCTGGAGGAGCTGATGCCAGGTGTTAGAGGGCTACACAATTCCATCCCAAACACGACGGATGCCAGGAAGGGAAGAGGGAGGCCACGGGCCCATCCACAGGCACTGAGATTGTCCATCTGCCCTTCCTCCGGGGAGTCCTGGCCACCCCTTAGAGTAAAAGACCTAGAGACCCTGCCAACAACAAATTCTGGCAAGGAAGCTAGAAACTGCATGCTACCCTATACTTTTCCGTGGAGAACAAAGGCTATTTCCATCAAGGTTGGGGTGTTAGGAGAAATTTTTGTTTGTTTGTTTGTTTTTTGGTAGTGAGTGCTGGGAATAAAAGACCCTTCTCGAAACCACTTCCCTTTCAGATCTGCCCTGGATTAAACTCTGGAGACTCAAAGCCACACCTTCCCACTTCCTGTAGCTGGCTGGAGCACGCCCAGATTCTTCGTGCTTCAGCTGAGAGCCTCCACAGCTGGTCAGCCTCTGCATGGGAGGTAAACTCTGAGTCTGTCCTTGGCCTGCCTTTGTTTGAAAAAAAGGGAGGCCCCTTTTAACATGGACCCATTTCCTTTTAAGTGACCTAACTTTGGATTTCCCAAAGATGGAGCCAGTGCTCAGATGCGTGCTGCACTTCCCCTCCCGCCAAACCCAGTTCAGAGTCCGGAGCTAAGGAGGGCCAAGGTTATAAGACAAGAACTGTCTTATAAGCAGCTGGGATGACAGTCCAGGGCCTTCAGCAGGCTGACAGTGCTAACCTTACAGATATATAGTCTCTCACGTTAAACCCTCAAAAGCCTCACCCACATTGGTGGGTGAGGGGTTGGAGAGGCCATTCTTTTTTTTCAAATTAACTAATTAACTTTTGGCTGCGTTGGGTCTTTGTTGCTGCACATGAGCTTTCTCTAGTTGTGGCAGGCGGGGGCTACTCTTCGTTGCAGTGCGTGGGCTTCTCATCGCAGTGGCCTCTCTTGTTGTGGAGCACGGGCTCTAGGCGCGCAGGCTCAGTAGTTGTGGCACCTGGGCTTAGTTGCTCCATGGCATGTGTGATCTTCCCGGGCCAGGGCTCGAACCCGTGTCCCCTGCATTGGCAGGCGGATTCTTAACCCCTGCGCCACCAGTGAACTCCTGTGGAGAGGCCATTCTTGACTAGAATTCCAAAACCTCAGGAGATCTTCACAGCCCGAGTGAGCTTGCGTGAAGCTATATGGCAAGTGTACGAAACGGAGCCTCAAACTTGAGTTCTAATTCCAGCTCCATCAGAATTAGGTTTATGAAACCTAATTCTTAGAAAGTCACAGAAACTCCACGGGCCTTGGTTTCCTCATCAGGAAAACTCAGAAGGTTGGACTGAATGATCTCTAAGGGCTTCCAGTTCTTTTTTTTTTTTGGCCACACTGCGTAGCTTGCAGGACCTTAGTTCCCCAACAAGGGATCGAACCTGGGCCCCCTGTGGTGGAAAGAGGGGAGTCCTAACAACTGGACCACCAGGGAAGTCCCACAGTTCTAACTTTCTGAGAATCCAGATTCTCCTCCTCTTCCATTGTGGCAATAAAATAAGAGACAAAAACTGTGGACTTACAAAGGGGTAGGATTCAATCATGCCCTCCCAGTGAGTGGCTCCGGGTCCTGGCTAAGAATGAATGTAGCAGCAGAGAGAAGGGGACCTGGACATCCCAGGGAGGCTTTCTGGCCTTTTATGCAGCCTGAGGGGGCGGGAGATAGAGGCCTGGGACGTGTCCTTGGCGGGAGCCTATGTCTCAGGAACCCTTTCAGGAAAGTGCAGACTGTCACGCCAGACCCCAGTGCTGGGCTGTTCAGAAGCAGGGTGTCTGTCCTCACTTTGTAAGCCACCTCTTCCACCTGCCCAAGGAAGGGGAGGGGCCCAGGCTGACCTGAGGGAGGAAAGTGTCCCAGGATAGGAGGGCCCTATAAGCCCCCGCCTGTGTGAGGTTCTAGAGCAGCACGACTGGGAATAATAAGGCCTGGGTTCTGCCTTCCCAGCCCCACCATGCACTGAGTCAAAGCTCCGGTTCTACACAAAGGCCACGTGAGTCTCGGAGTGAAAGAACTGGTTACTCACTGTTTTGGGGACAATCTGTTTCTTGGGCTGCCCAATCTTGAAAGGAATCCTGTAAGACAAAGAGTCAAAGAGGAAGGTTAGGAGAAATGGGGAAGGATGTGGCTGAAAAGACTTGATGAGGTATGGCCACTTTCCCCCTGGAAGGAGTGCCTCACTCCCGGGACTTGTACCATGTGCCTGCGGGTCTAGGACCATCAGCAACCAGGCTGGGCTCCAGGAGAATGGTCCCCCATGGACAGAATCAGATGGAGGTGCCCCAGAGCATCTTTCTCTGCAATGTTTACATACATTGCAAAGGTGAAGGCAGGAAAGGTGAGATACTGTACTAGTAACGTCACTACAAACCTTGTGTCTTGAGGAGCTGCGAAGTCAAAGGCTGCAGGCTCACCTGGACAGCTATCATCCTTGAAAACATGCCTTTAAAAAACACCACAAAGCCCACTATCATCTGTAGCAGGTGCTTCCCTACTTCTCTATAGAGAGACAGACTGTGGAGGGCTTCTTGTGGGGCTGGGGAGAGATGACGAATTGCAGGAGCACTGAGGACCAGTCAGGCTGGGTTATTTCCCGCGAGAACTGACATCTAAAGAAAGCTAGCTTGGAGAAGAATCTGAATCCAGCTCAAGTCTGCCCTGAACTTGCTGGGAAGCTCTGCACCTCAGGTTCCCCACTTGGAAATGGAAGAAGGCGTGGCATAATGGAAGGAAGGTCATAGTCCAGGAGTCCAACCCTGAGCGCTAACCCCGCCTCCACCCCTGAGGAGCAGGCCGCCTGGAAATGACTGCGCCGGGACTTAATTTCCTACTCTGTGAAACAAGAGGGTTAAACTGGGTCATCTAGAAGCTTCCTTCAAGCGCTGAAAATTCTCCCATCCTACAGTTCTGAGAATTAGAGAAGCCACAGGGCATCCCCACAGCTACAGAAACGCGGGCTTCTCCCACCAAGGTAGGAGTGAGTTAAGCATCCCTGGCTGGGATCAGCTCAGGGAAGAGCCCTGAGGGTGCAGGTTTGACCCCACTCTCACTGCTCTCCTTCCAGTGCTCAGGACCAGTGGTCCCTTCCATTCAAACCTCCTGCTCCCACTCCTTCCCCCCTACCCCCTCCACCAGGCGCCCCCCTCCACACCCTCCTCTCCCCAAGCCTGGCTTCTCTTGGCCCATACTGACCAACACTGCTGCTAAGCCCAGTGGTATAATTAACCACCGATCATAACCCCAGACAACGATCTGGTTGAGAGGATGGGCCAGCCTGAGTCACAGCAGTTTATATTTAATTTCTGGAGGACATCCTGTTTATTGTTAATCCAGCCCCGTAATTTAGGAGCGTTAACCCTTTGGGGGCTGGCTGATTCACGTGGCTTCTGTAAACAAATAATCTCTGGCTATGTAATTACCAAGGGAAGGTAAGCTATGGAATTGAAAAGGAAAGAAAAAATGAAATTGCCATTTCCCTCTCTCAGACCTGAAGAAGAAAGGTTAAGGGAACAGGAGAGCCTTAGTCCTCTCCCCCCACCACAGTTACTTCTGCCCAAATCAGGGACTCGAGCTGACTGACACAATGGTTTTGGGCAGTGAGCAACTGCCCGCAAGGACCATTTTGGTGACAGTGCAAGTGAGGTCCTGGTGGCATTGCAAAAAGACCGATCCTGCTCTGTGTGAAGCATGTTGCTGTATAAAAAGCTCTGGACCAGGAATCAGAAACCCTGGTCTCGGGCTTCCCTGGTGGCGCAGTGGTTGAGAGTCCGCCTGCCGATGCAGGGCACACGGGTTCGTGCCCCGGCCCGGGAAGATTCCACATGCCGCGGAGTGGCTGGGCCCGTGAGCCATGGCCGCTGGGCCTGCGCGTCCGGAGCCTGTGCTCCGCAACAGGAGAGGCCACAACAGTGAGAGGCCCGCGTACTGCAAAAAAAAAAAGAAACCCTGGTCTCTGCCTCTGACTAGTTTCTTAAACAAACTATAAAACAAAGTAGCTGGACTAGGTAGCCCTTTCAGCTTACCTAAAACTTGAATTCTAAACTGAATCTCCATTCCAAGAACATGGGGAGTGGAATGAGAATTCTAAAGAGCCCTCAGAGCGGTCCTCAAAGTGACTCTAACGTGGCGTCTAGTACTACAGACTAGCTACAAAGGAATTAGGAACTTAGATTCCATTATTTGTGGTGCCACAGCCTCTCTCTAAATCTTAATTTAGAATCACAGTATTTTTAGAGCTGCAAGTAACCATAGAAATTTTTCCAGTTCAACCCTCTCATTTTGGAGATGCGGAAGCAGATCTGGAGGGGTTCAGTGACTAGCCCAGGGTCATTCAGCAACAGGACCCAGAACAAACAATCAGGGTTGCTATTTCTTGTCCAGTTTTCTCTCTACTACTCACAGTTCAATACTCTTTCACATAGATATGTCATATGTATTTGAAGGAACTAGGAAAAAAATCATCTGGTCAAAATACTTAATCTTAAAATACTATGGAATTTAGGAAGGGTTCATTGTTAAAAGCCTGGAAATGAAAGAGGACCGTGTTATCAGGAGGAGGCTGGTGCTGAACTGGGTGCTTCTGCACAAATGAGAGGCCGTGTGAACTGTGTAGAAGGAACCAGGCCTCTGTAATCTCACTGCAGGTACTGACAATCACCTGTAACTTTATCATATGATTCTGATTAGTTTTCACCTCACCTCTTCAAAAGCCATCTCCCTGCCTGAAGAATGCCTTAAAAAAAAAAAAAAAGTAACTTTTGATTAGAAAAGTTTTAGATTTACAGAACAATTGTAAAGACAGTACCTAACTCCATATATCCCACACCCAGTTTCCCTTATTATTAACATCTTATATTCGTATGGCATATTTGTCACAGTTAGCAAACCAATCCTGAAATATTAAAGTCTACACTTTATTCAGATTCCCTTAGTTTTCACCTAACGTCCTCTTTAAGTTCCAGGATCCCAGCCAGGTTGCCGCATTCCATTTAGTCATTGTCTCCTCAGACTCCTCTTTGATATTTTCTCAGACTTTCCCTGTTTTTGATGACCTGGCCGACAGTTTTAAGGAGTGCTGGTCAGGTACTCTATAGAAATGTCCCTCAACTGGGACTTGTCTGCTATTTTTCTCACGACTAGACTGGCGTTACCGGTTCTGGAGTGAAGGAGTGAAGTGCCATTCTTGCCACATCATACTAAGGGTTCGAGCTATCAACCCAACTTCCTACTGCTGATGTGAGTCTCCGTCACTGGGCTGAAGCAGCCTTTCCCGGGATTCTCCAATATATGGTCCCTCCCCCTCCGCCCCCACCGCGCCCCCCCTTTGGAAGGAAGCCACTTGGCGCAGCCCACACGTAAGAAATGAGAAGTAATACTCCACCTTTTTGTGGGCAGAGTATCGGTATAAGTTATTTGGGATTCTGCATGGGAGATTTCTGTTCTCTATTATTTATTCAGTCACTTACAGCAGTATAAATGCATCGATATTTATTTTATATGGGTTATAATCCAATCCTACTTTATTCTGTTGCTCAAACTGTTCCAGCTTTGGCCACTGGGGGCTCCCTCAGTTGGCTCCTGTGTCTTTCTGACATACCCACATCAGTGTGTGCGTGTGTGTGCGTGCGTGCGTGCGTGCGTGTGTTTTGTTTAGTACTTCCTTGTTTTCTGGACTACGAGATGTTCCAGGCTTACCCTGTACATTTCCTGAGCCAGCCCTAGAACTGGTCGAGGAACTTCCTAAACCAGCAGTCACTGTGCCTCTATAATATGGTCTCACCCCGCCTTTTAGTTTCCCTTCCCATTCACCCAGTACAACTACTCTAATTCAGCCAAGTGGCTGTTCATTTATCCCCCAAATCTAGACGCCTTATAAACAACTTCCTGTCCCAAAGTGGGAGGTCCATTTTTTAGTGCCAACATGTCATTAATAATTTAATCAGGACAAAAGCTATAAAACTTGGACTGTCCAGGGCAACTGGGACATACGGCCACCCCACCCAGAGGGAACATTTCCCTTCTCCTGGCTTCATCAAAGCTGTTCTGACTCCCAAACCTTGCTTACCTTCTTCAAAATGTCTACAACTTTATTAGGCATTTAAAAATATTCTACCTTTTACAGTTGATTACAGTTCATCTCTTCAAAAAGTAAAACATGCTCATCAGAGAAAACTTGAGAAGTACAGAAAGCCTAAAAGAGAGAGAAGGAGAGAGAAAGAGAAGGAAAAGAAGGAAAAGAAAAAAACCCCCAATAGCCCCTCCGTCTCCTATTGAAAAGATAACCAAGGTTAATGTTTTGGTGTTAATTATATTTTAAACATTTTCAGAAAGAAAAAAACCTGAACCAGATATGCCAAATGTCAGTAGTTAATTCCGGGTGGTGAGAATATGATTACTGTTTTCTTTTTTGCACTTTCCATATCTCTCAAATAAACTGAAGAAAAAAAATCCCTTAAGTTTTTTTCCTTGACTATAAAAATAACACCTGATCAGTGTCAAAAACTTGGAAAACCACAAAGGACAAACACACACACACAGATACAAATACACAAAATCCCAGAGAAAAAGTAATACCCCAAATTTCAGTGGGTACAGCATATGCATATTTACACAACTTTTAAAAAATAAAGGAAACATATATCAGGAGTGTTTTTATATGCCAATACACAAGTTTTCATCAGCCTGACTTTTAAGAGCTACCTAGTTTTTCATTAATCAACTGTATCACTAGTTTTCTTTTTGTAACCCACATGGCTTAAGTTATCATTTCAACTGACTCAAGTTTTTCTTCTAATATAAACGAAAACCAACAGCTAAATCTTTGGGCACATCAAGGATTAGTCACATAGGATAAATTCTTAGTATTGGAATTGCTGGGTCAAAGGATACACGCAGGTTCAAGGCTTTGATTCGCTTGCCAAATTGCCCCTGAGAAGACTGAAACAGTTTACATTTTTTTAAGGATTGAAATCATTGACCACCAGTCCCAGGATTTTTTTCCTGTCTTAACGTTTACCTTTCCATTTTGTACATGTGTGTGTTTAGTGTACAGAGGCTTTTAATTTGTATGAAGTGA